CCCCCTTAATCCCTACTTATAGCAAGCAAAAGACCAAACCAAACCCACTAGTGGGCTGCCCAAGCTGAACCGCACAGCTCAGGCCAGACCCGAGCCAAACCGGTCCAGAAATGGACCGGTTCCGCTCAAGCCGACCCCCCGCTCCGCTCCGCGTCAAGTCTCGCGCCCGCGTCGCCTTTGGCGGATCAACCCGCGCGGTCTCCTTCCCGGCCGATGCCGCGTGCTCCGGGGTCGCCGGCACTTCCTCTGCCGGCCGGCGGCGGCCCGCACGCCTCCTCCTCTGCCGGTCAGCGGCGGTCCGCATCACAATGTTAATGACTAATAGCTCACGTGGTATTTTCTCTGGCCTTCCCATGAGTCAGCAAGGGTTTAAATCCCTCAAAAAAAAATCCAGGGTGCACAAAATAAGTTAGTCACCACTATTGCACAAATCACTTCATACAACTTTTAGTGAAAGAACAACAGTTGTTTTTCCTCCTCGGCCGGTCAGCGGCGGTCCGCATCACAATGTTAATGACTAATAGCTCACGTGGTATTTTCTCTGGCCTTCCCATGAGTCAGCAAGGGTTTAAATCCCTCAAAAAAAAATCCAGGGTGCACAAAATAAGTTAGTCACCACTATTGCACAAATCACTTCATACAACTTTTAGTGAAAGAACAACAGTTGTTTTAAACATCTGATACAACGAAAGTCCGACTGCCATGAAATAATTATTATTGCTACATCAAAATAAAACAGTAAATAAATATACAGCATTGGCCAAAAAATATGTGACATAGTGGTTGATTTATATTGATTTCAACTTGTAATAAATAACAATAAATATTTACAGGGTTATTTTTATTTGGTAGAAAACATGTTATGGGAATTTTAAAGAACCCCATAAAGCAAAAAGTTCAACCAAAACAACATAGGTTTATAACATGAAAGTCCAAATACTTAAAAAGAAAGTAAAAATAAACTAACAGGACAAAACTAGGACAGGGTATAATTACACGTCCATATCCCTTCAAGCATAGGCATTGAAATAAAACTACTAAATTTAAGCAAACCTAACAAGCAAAAGAATAAGACTCCCAAGATTTTCCACAGAGTATCTGGTCCTATTCATAAACCACACAACGTGTTTCCAGCCCTTGGTATTTGATAAATTGATGCTTCCATCCTTCAACAAAAGAGAGGCAAAGTTGAAAGATCAAGTCCTTTCTCGTTTAAAACCCAACGAAAAAACTTTGGAGAAGAAACCCTTCAAATTGTGGCCAATTGTTACTTCAAGGTTGAAGGTTCTGCCATTCCAAAATATTCACTATATTATAACAGTCCAATCCTAGTGATACCACTACCTAATGACCCTAGGATACAAGAAATAAAATAAGTTAATCCCATCTCAATTAAAAAACTTCCTAGAAGTTAATTATTGCATGTCGGAACATTCGCAGCGATATAGAGATAAAAATTAAAAAGTTTACACCTTAGTTTTGTACGAATATCTAACACACACATAGATAAAGGTAGAAGTGCAAGAATAATAAGAGGAGTGCTCTTTTCGACATCCATCACCCTTCAACTATGAACCTTGGACAACAATCACCCAACTACGATCTTGAGACCACCATTACCTGACTACAATTCTCCGATCACCATCAGCCGACTAATCCAACACTTATTGGCTACACCACCTACCATCGCCAATAATACCATCACACTGCATCACTTACAGGATGTATGTATGCTGGCAACATCAACTCTGACTTCTAACTTAAGCATTTGGATTTATGTTGATTTTCTACCACAAGGTTCTTTCAACCTCAATAATATGATACGTACTTTATTAATCCCTCTTGTTTGATGGAGGGCATCACTTGTGATCAAATATAAACAATTGTATAATCATTTCAATTGAGCTAGGCCCTGTAAATTTTTCTTTTCTTGAAATTTTCATGTAAAAATATGTCTTCTCTTACACTTTTTGCACCAATCTCTCTTATATGTATGTGTTTTGGGTCTTCGTGCAAAACTACAGCGTTAAACTTCGTATCCTTCTACAGCAGCAAACATTCCGGCAAGCAACATTAATAATAAAAGCAATTGGAAATTGCCCGGCAGATTCTTCAAGCTGGAGTGCAGAACTCCAAGAAACTATCATTCAATCATTTGAAACGCCACTCACTTGAATGGTCCATTATACAAAAAACATCATTACGGTACATTATGATAACACTGAGCAGTTGGAAATCAAGCACAGTCTAATAAATTATAAGTAATTACTCAAAACAATATGAACAACGACCATCTTAAATCTACCTAATACAGATTATCACGTCCCCAGGCATGTAAACCCTAACGCAATATGAATCGCACCTTTTGTTCGTTCGGAGGAACGCCATACCCGCTCTGGTACATCTGGCCGACAAGGACCTGCATCATGGCATCCCCGGTCTTGGCCTCCTCTAAGGTATCCCGGAACCAACGACGCACGCAATCCGCAACCACATCGGAGAGCGGCACGCGGTCTTCCAGCCGTCCAGTCGCCAACAACGGCTTCTCCATCACCCGCCCCACTCTTGCAGCATCGCCCAGCGATGCAATAGCAGCCTGATCCTTCCGGGAAGACGCCAGCGATTAAAACACAGACTTCGCCTTATGCCGATCGAGTCGAGGCGTGCGTGCTCCTGAAGATAAGCAGTAGGAGGAGGCCGCGTTCTCATAAAAGTAAAGAAAACAATATCCCGAGGAAGAAGAGTCGGGAATTAGAAGAGATTTTAGCTTTACGAGAGAAATCCGAAGCTTCATCTAAAATAAGCCATTTTTTTGGGGGATTTATATTCACACATTAAAACTTTTTATGCTATATTTTCTTATTAGAGTGTGTAAAAATATTCAAAAAGTGCATTCAAATTAATAAATTTGATTCAAATATAAAATGGATTAATTTAATTATGGTCATTAAAACTTTTAGAAGTGATCTAATGAATTAGTTATCAATTTTAGTAGTCAAATAATGTCGAATTATATTACTTATTTAGATTTTTTTTTTTTGGGAAAAACTTATTTAGAATTTTAAATAACTCCATTTTTTTTTCCAGTTCTTATTATCTCTGCACAAGTGGTGGATCATACTCATTAAAGTTTCTCAATTTTTTGCATGACTTATTTTATTGTTTTTTGTATTTTTTATTAATATCGAGTTAATTTAGCCCTTTTGATTCGTAGTTTATTGCCCATAAGAAACTCGAGAGCATTGGGCTCCAAGAAAAAAATGGGGTAGACCTAGAGATTTTGATGGTTGGCATTGTCTTCAAAGCTCTCTCAATTAGTTCAAATCAACAAAACTTCATGTTAAACGATCAATCAATTAAGAACATGCTAGGCTTTCTTTGACCTTCTGTTGCAATTTTCATTGCCAAGAAATATATCTTATAGGATAAAATTGTAAGGCCTATTTATATGCCTCTTTAATATCATAATAGTAAGGCATATATTAGGCTATTATGACTGTGCATTCATTATACCTCTAGAGTGTTAAAGTAATAAGTCTTGATCTTCAATCAAATCTCATAATTAATATTACAAAATTAATCTAAGTAATCTTACATCTAGTTTCCCTAAAATCTTATAATATTCAAAATTAAAATTAATTCAAAAACTAATTAAGATTTAACAATAGAGTTATAATATCCAACCTAAACTTCCACATGCCTTGTTGCTAGCAAGCTAGTAAACCTAAACTTCCCTCATCCCTCACTCGCATGCCTTAGCTAGGAATGAACTAGAAGATAAGGGGGGAGAAGATGAGAGAGAGAGTCTGTTGGGGCATTTTTGTCTGTCGTTCCTTTTACGACAAATGTTATAATCATTTTTAAGTAACTATTATCTTTTTTTTATATCGATTTATCTCTCATAAATATGTCATAAATGCATTATCTTCTGATTTCATAAGTTTTCACCTCGTAACTTTTAATTAGTTATATATTTGATCATTTTGAAAGATTTGAGATGATTTTATTATATTTTTAGTAGTTAAAAATACGAATAGGAATTTTTTGATAAAATGAGTTGGAAAAAACATACTGAAAAAGGGTTGAAATGATATACTATGATTGGCATAATAATACAAAAATGTAATTTGCACTAAATGATTAGTATGATCAATATGTACTAAAATGTGATACTGATCTGATTGAAAATATGTACGACACTAATACTGCTCTTATAGAAAATAATATACTCATTGATATTAGATAACCGATATGATAATCTCATGTGATATTCTTAAAATCTACATGGCCCACATGGTATATTGATGGAGTTATAAGGAGTTGGGGTGACTGATTCACATTATTCAAGGGGATTGATAAAGAGTTTATTGATTGGGAGTCATAAGAGGGGACTGATTCAGAGTCATAAGTACATGAGTAAGATATCCTCAAGATACTCTTATATGAATATCTAATAGAGTATTGATTATCGATTACTGATACTACTTGTTATTTATTACTGATTACTAATTACTGACACTGATTATGGATATTAAGATTATTATATTGTATAACTGATAGATTGACGATAAAGATTGAATGAAACTAATATTAGGATAAAGACAGAATGATTGATTAATACAAGTGATCGATACAAATAATTTATATATGAATTTATATATATTTATTTATATGATATACAACATATTAGTTCTCTTCTAATTATATTGAATTTAGTGGTAAATTTTTAGTTACTTGCTGGGTTATTCAAGCATAACGTGGTTTAAAGGATTTTAAACAAGGATATTTCAGCTTAAGGCTATGTATACATGCGTGCTAGTGTAGTTTTTATTTCAGATTTTAGTTTGTGTTTTTTTGTAATCAGTGTGGCTATTGTTTATATTATTTTGGACTCTAATAGTTTAATATAGATATTGACATGCATAAATGTTAATTTATTTTTTTGTTATTATCTATTTCTTTTAATAAAATTAATCAGATTTGATTGTTGATATTTATTTGATTTCAATGGTTGATTAATGAATAGAATTAATTAACAAGATAATAAAGATTGAAGACAAAAAAGAAAAATAAATTCTTTCACTATAAATCTTAGGGCTTGACGATAAAATCTTGAAACAAATAATAATATAATTCTTAGATCTTCTTTATCAAATATAGTGATGCAAGCTCTAACTTCATTTTTCCAATACGACATAGCATTAAATTTCAAAATATCTACTCTTCTGACATATCTCAATAAAATATGAAAATACAAGCCTTGAATTTCTTTAGATTTTTATGTTGAGTTTGCATGAATATATTTTCAATCTCTTAGTTAATCTTTAACAAATATAGAGATGCAAATTATTTGTATGCATGAAAGTCCTTATGGTTGGTTGAATTTTCACAAGTTCCACCTATCTTCAAACCTCATTTAGGACCTTAGACATAAGCCTATAAGCCTCATTTTTTTTTTCTAAAATTACTACTTAACTACTTTATGGGAGTGTCAAACTCTCATTAAGTTCTAAGGACAAAGCATAAGCCCATGTTCTGAAATGTTTCTTTGAGTCAACTACACTGCAACTTGAAACTAAAAATAATTAGGCTCTTTATGTGGAGAAATATTTTGTGTGGAGTCCCGACATAACTCTATGTCCGAACGCTAATAAAATCATTATGCATGGATTGCCTATGTGGAAGTTGCCGATGTGGATTACCCGACCTGATTTTAATCTGTCTTGTCAGCCTGACACTCAACCTGCCCAAAAAAAGGTAAAAATGTGAAAATGGCAACTTTTTTTCACTTTTCAAGCACCTATTTGGTTTTCAACATCTGGCATTCACAGTTCTCAAAAGCTCCTGAATTCACTTCTCCTTGCAACTTCCGACATTCTATCAGTTCCTATGCAATTGGCATCACCTGTAAAAAAAAAAGGTTACTTATCTGCTCATGTAATGCATTTTATTGCGTAACTAAAAAAATTATGTTTTTATTGCTTGCTTAAAAAATTTCTATTTTGTGATTGATTCTTCACGGCTCTTTTTAGTGTATTAATATTTTATAATTGCATAATTGGTTGCTGATAGTTATGGCCTAACATATTTTTATGGTATTCTCTGCATATTTGGTGAAACCTAAACCCGAACAACCTTTTAACATAAACCCTATGGATCTTAAAATATTAAACAAGTAAAAACACCAAACCCTAAATACCTAAACATTTAAAACTATAAAAATTTAGCAATTTAGCAATTTCTTACTCAATAGTGATTCTCAAGTTATTTATATATCAATTCTTTGTATGTTATGCATATATTCTATGTAATTTATTCTTAAATTTTGCATAATTTTTGCGTACCTTATTCTTAATTTCTGCATGTTTTGTTATGTATATACTACGTACTTATGCGTATCTTCTGCATATTTTTTTGCATATTATTTTGGTATTTGTTGAGTATTTTCTACATATCTTCTATGTATTTCTATTTTTTTTCTTATTTTATTTGTTTATTTCTTAATTTATTCAAGTTTATATTTGGCTTATTACTTATCGATACTATGTTTTGATCTTCCGATCAATCTACAATAATCTTACTTAGCTAATTTCTCTTGTTGTTGAAGATAACTTGAAGAGATTAAATATCTACCAATTTTTATAATTTCTTAAATTCGAGCTAAACGTCCCGCTTATTTACGAGCTATTCATAATGTGGAATATTTCAAGATAATGTTTTATTATAAATGGTCATGCTATACCTTTTATCACTGATCAAATGACTCTTTTTATTCCTCTACTAAATAGAGGTGAAAAATATCCTTGCTTTCTTTGGCACATACAGGAGTAACATCAATGGATATAAAGTCTGGCATGTTAGAGTTAAATGTGTATAGCCTCCTAGAGACTATGTTAAAAATATTTATTATATGTTTATATTCAAATTTATTTTTCCAACTTAATAACTTTAAAACTCCTATGTTGCTCCATTTAATATCAAATAATATAAATGAGTTTTTATCAGTTAATTAGATGTGGTCGGTTATACAATATTTAATTAAAGAGTTTAATAAGATCTCCATAAAGATTTTAAATAACAAGCCAGCAGGTTACATCAAAAGTTTTGTGCCTCAACTAATTATGAGTGCTAAAATTATTCTAATTTTTTTTTTAATTTTACTTATTTATTTGCTAAAATTAATTTTGATCTTATGTAGATTTGGTTCCTGAAGCACACTTCAATTCATACTCCTAAGTACCTTAACCAAAGGCCTTGCTTCCTATGATGGGCTAATGACATTATATATATTACCAATAAGATTACTAATTTATTTGTTTAATTAAAGGAAAAATAGGTGTGTCATGTAGCAAATTTCAATTAATACATCTGAGAAGAATAAAGATTTGCTAATAAATATTTTTTGCTGATTTTTTATATCCTCCAATAAGTTACCTAGGAGGAAGCTAATTTGCTGGGCATTCAGAAATATTCAAAATGCAGCCCTCCTCCTTCCCGTCATGAAATAACTTACCCAACAATAAGAACTAAATTCCCCACCCACACACCTCATTCTCCCAATCAAGCCCCCTCCTCCCTTGCAAACCCCTAATCTCCTTAACAACCACACTTTCCATTTTCAGTTCAAGAATTTGATTTTCTCCTGGGAAAAATACTAAAATTAGCCTAGGATACCTATGCAAAGCTTTTTCATGAATTTGAAGGTAGGCTGAGCAGGAAGTTTGAGCAACTAGCTGAAAAGAGTGAAAGTAATTGATGACAAGCTCAACCATTACATTGCTCAAT